CCACTCTTTCGTCTGAGGACAGCTTCCTTTAAGAGTGTCTTTCTCGCAGTGGACCTGGATCCACGGACAGCAGTAGAGTTTGCTGCAGAGTCCAGGGGTTCTGCTGAGGGGGCTGGAATGTCAGCGGAGAGGGCTGCATAGCGGTTTGACAGGCTCAGGACATGGGCCACGGCGCTGGATGGCTCCTCGCAGTCCGCAGGCTCTTTATTCCGAACCGGGCACTTAGGTGTAGAGCAAGAGGGCCCAGAGCTGACAGATCTCTCCCACACGACAGTGTCACAGTATGCAGCGCTCAGTGACATAAGTCGTGAGTGCTGCCCGCCAGCGACATCAAAAAGTTTGGACACGAGTGACTGTTTATCCTGCAGCTCTGCAGTGAGGCGAAGGACTTCTTTACGGAGGTCTGCAATAGTGGCACGGTCCCTCTCACGAAGCTCCAATGTGAGGCGACTAATGTCGTTCGTGGTCATTGCAGTGTCACTTTCCATGTCTGTGATGCGCTCGTGGTAGCCTCCGAGCTAGCGCGTTTCGATTGGGTCTTTGTGTTAAAAGACGTGATGCTCTGGAACCATTGCATTTAAGATAATAAAACACTAGAGTGTACAAAAGACACTAATACACCGTAAAAACGTGTTTAAAAGGCTTTAAAAGGCTTAAAAGGGTAAACAGAGCAGAGACGTCAAAAACGCGTGCTCACTCCGCGTGCTCACTTATTATTGCCGATGCTATTGCTACAACCAGAACCTGTGACCAAATGCAATATACATGTTAAGTATTCAGACATCTGACAGACAAAAACTTTGACTTTTTTGTCTGGGAGACTGAGCAACTGTTAAAATGTGTTAAAGTGATAAAGTATGAGTATTGTAGCGTTTTAGTAGATGTTAAATAGTAGTAAAAAAGTAGAATTGTCCTTCCTTTGTTGTTCATAAACATATTTCCACGTAAGAGTTAAAATAGTACCATACAATGTTATCCTTTTGATAGATCAGCTAGAATATTAGAATCAGAATAATGTTACAGCCATTAAAAGTGACAGAAGTCACAAACTAGAAATATGCCTTTGCTCAAGCTGCAACCGAGCTTTAGAGTCACAATAGTGTAGAAATAGAATTAGATAAATGCATCAACCATAGATGCTTTCAAAAATAGAGATTATTTCTAGACATTGCTAATATCAAATGGTAAAGGGACCATTTCACAAGCATTTACTTCAAAAGTAGATAAAGTTACTTACAGTTTTATGTACAGTTTTATTAGATACTTGCCAAATTCACTTGTGTTCACACATGAGTGAATGTTGACAATACAAAAAGTCCATATGAGTGTAGTCTAGATTAATGCCTAGATCAATGAGATAGATTAGAACCAACAGAGATTCAAAAGCATCTTTGAGAAGTTAAAAGTTGTTGATTTGCCAGCACAGATTAGAGAATCAAACACCATTGTACAATAATAACTGACCCCAACCCCAAACCTGCTAAAATAGATTAGCTCTTGTAAGGATTATACTAATTTGATTAATGATGTACAATCATCCCAAACTGCCTGAGAGGAGGAAGTGACAGCACTTCCTGGTTCAACAAATGTATTTGGAAAACTGACCGCCATAATAATGTTCATATTAACCATTTGCCTTACTTTGTGTAAGCTCTCAGTCGTACAGGGATTAGTCAAAGCAAAGGAAGGTTTCTCACCCATCATCTGTACTTCTTAGCAAGTTTTCCCGACGTTTCGTCCTCAACCTAGCGGACTTCTTCAGGGAATGAATTCTCGGACCGCGCGTTGGAGATTTATAACCTATGGGTGTGGTTAGCCACACCCTAATCCTGATTCTAACTCATAAACAATCTACGGTCTGCTTGATGTAGAAGGGAGCAGATCTAACGACCCTGCTGAGGCTAACGACCCTAACTCCTTAGCATGTCACAGACCTATTGTCTGCTGGGATCATCAAGTGGAGTGCAGGTCTCACCCCTCCTAACTCATTAGCATGTCACTGACCTTGTCCCAAGTTAGGGCGTTGTTTTTAGGATGTCGTCATAGATGCGAGGCAAAACAAATCTTAACCCTCCTCCTCTGTTAAGAGAAGGTTTTTGTTTCCTCACAAAAATGGCTTCTCTCACTCCTCTCTCAAACCAATTCTTCTCCTCGGCTCGGGAGAAGAATTGGTTTGAGAGAGGGGTGAGAGAGGAATTGGTTTGAGAGAGGAGTGAAAGAAGCCATTTTTGTGAGGAAACAAAAACCTTCTCTTAACAGAGGAGGAGGGTTAAGATTTGTTTTGCCTCGCATCTATGACGACATCCTAAAAACAACGCCCTAACTTGGGACAAGGTCAGTGACATGCTAATGAGTTAGGAGGGGTGAGACCTGCACTCCACTTGAGCATCCCAGCAGACAATAGGTCTGTGACATGCTAAGGAGTTAGGGTCGTTAGCCTCAGCAGGGTCGTTAGATCTGCTCCCTTCTACATCAAGCAGACCTGAGATTGTTTACGAGTTAGTATCAGGATTAGGGTGTGGCTAACCACACCCATAGGTTATAAATCTCCAACGCGCGGTCCGAGAATTCATTCCCTGAAGAAGTCCGCTAGGTTGAGGACGAAACGTCGGGAAAACTTGCTAAGAAGTACAGATGATGGGTGAGAAACCTTCCTTTGCATTTGCCTTACTGTGTTCAGTTTTATTCCTGAGAATGTAAATAATAAGCCACTGATAATGAGAGTAAAACCACAGTATAGAGAGATTTATTAGATTAAAATGTATGTTTAAGAATATGGCTCAATAGAAGCAAATATGCAAACATATTTGTAAATAGATTAGAATAGTTTTAAACTATAGTAAATAGAGAGTAAAGTACACAGTCTAATTAGAAAGTGATAATAATACAGTGAAATAAGTGTAGTGTAAACAATTAGCATTAGAATAAAAGTATAGAGTAATAAAAGTTAAATTAGCTTCTAATTGAAACTCAGCTCGTTTTTGTCTGTGTTTTGACTGAATCTGCTGAGTTCTTGTGTGTCCAATAGTATTTTTGTTTGTTTTTATTTTTGATTTGTTTTTTGTTTGTTTATTTACTTTATTTTTGTTTGTTTTGTTTTTTTCCCAGGATAGAGGATAAAATCCACTGATATTGATTTGATGATTATGAGTTTAATGCATACATTTTCTTTGTTTTTAATAATTTTTTAAAGTTTTTTTTTTTGATTTTTTTTTTTTCTTTTTCCACTTTATTGATTGATCAAATTGAGTGATCACATGTGATTATGTGATCAAAGGGGAGGGTGTTAGTATTAGATAGCAATATGGCAGAGGTGTGGACTCGAGTCATGTGACTTGGACTCGAGTCAGACTCGAGTCATGATTTTGATGACTTTAGACTCGACTTGACCAAATGTAAAAAGACTTGCAACTCGACTTGGACTTTAACATCAATGACTCTGACTTTCACTTGGACTTGCGCCAATTGACTTGCAAAGACTTGCGTAACCCGGGCCATTTTTACCTTTCTCCGCATCTCTCTTTCTATCTATGCCGTCTCTGAAGAAACAAAGCCTCGCGGTAGTTGTAGCGCTCGCGAGAGAGTTCGAACGTGAGTTCCCCGCAGTTCGCGCAGCAACACTTCCCTAAACAAGCGCACTGCATTCACCGGTGGGTGTGTTGTCTAGGGGAGCTGGAAATGAGCGAGCTGCAGGTATTTATCGCAACCTAACGTCATATTTTGTTCTACAAACCGTAATTGATATGCTTTCACTACAGGCGCCTCATACAATTGAATCGACGCAGTTGTCACACTGTGTGCCGTGTTTTAAAGAGGAACTGGTGAGTCAAACTAGCGCTAGCCTGCGCTGCTCTGTTAGCTCTTTCTTATATTTTTCTGTGTGGGCGCCGAGGCCTATTATTATGAGTATGTTTTTGCTGTGCTCCTCCTGCTAAAGTTTGCATACATTAGATAGTTGTTTTGATTATGTGCACTAAGCTAGATTAATATTTGCACTATTGTTTATGGTGCATTGATATGAGAATCAGTGCTTTGACTGATTGAATTAATTTATATGAGACATTTTATTATGTAATGATATATTGGTAATTATGAGATATTACTAATGCTGGTCCAGTTCATACAGGCCAGGTTCCTTCCCCTCCATTGGTCCCTTCAGTCCTTTGGAACAATAACCACTACGGACATTAAACTGATTATATAGATACAGGTCCTAGCCCAATACTCATATTCATATATGCTGCACTGCTGCACTTGCTACTTCCCATTAAAAACCCCAAAGATAAAAAGTATGTTGACACGGACTGCTCTGATTTTATGTGTGGTCTGTGCATGTGTAACTGAGCCTGCATCTGGCACAACATCCAATTAGATCACGTAGATAGTTTTGATTTACCAGCAGCCAACGACATGGAACAAACTGTTAGTCCATGGGTCAGAGACCAACGAGAATGCACCAGCAAAATGATTCCTAACATTATTTTGTTTGCCTACAGAAGTACGTGGAGACCAACAAGAAACAAATCGCGGTCAAAAAGACTCGAGAGGACTCGAAAGTCAAACCGTAGGACTTGGGACTGACTTGAGATTTGTTGGCCTTTGACTTGGACTCGACTCGGGACTTGAGGGCAATGAATTGAGACTGACTTGTGACTTGCTAAACAATGACTTTGTCCCACCTCTGCAATATGGCCTACGTGCAGGACTGTACAAGGACTCCATGTTATGACTATGATTTGACTGTCTCTTTGTGACACGTATGTCTTTCGATGTGTGACGTGACAATGACTATATAAACTGTGTACTGCCTTTATTCTGTCTGAGAGAAAGAAACAAAGTAAACCAGTGGAACTTGAGAGAAACTTAAATAAACTTCCAGAGTTTGGCGCACCACGATCCGTCTCTGTCTGCTTCATCCCTGACAAGTGTTTGTTTGGGTGTTTAGTATATATTATCTTTTTTCTGAACCTAAAAGTTGTGTGACTGCAAACATGAACCACCTTAGATTTGTACCACTCCTCCGACTCCTGGATGTTTTTGGAGGCCAGTGTCTCATACTGCATCCGCACGTCCCGCAGAGCCGCCGTCAGGTCCGGTTTGACCATCTCCATATCTATTTGCACGCTCTGCTGCTGCTGGATCTGACCCTGCAACTCCAGCATCTCCTGCAAACCATGTGCAAAGTAATAACATAAGGATGATGCACAGATTAGACATGTGTGATTGTATTTATCTGAGGTTAGGGCTGCGACATTAGGTAAAATTAAATGTGAATCACTGGGTTAGGGCTAGGTCTTTTAGGGCTAGGTCTTGTTATGGAAGACCTAGCCCTTTAAAATGGATCTTGTTATAGAAGACACGTTTTTGATATAAAAATATACGCATACACTTTCTCTTTTTAGAAGAATTTATCAGCTCTATTGGTTAAAAGGTTAAAAATGTGGTAAAAAAAAATCAAAAAGTCAACAAATACAATAATTATTGACTAGTGGACTATGATGATGATAGTTGGTGCATCATGTTATATATCCACCCATACTGTCTATGTTTGTTGATCTTCATGAATAAAATGATTGGTTTAGTACAACACTGACAAAAATTGTTGCATATTCTTATCATTTCTTGTTGTTTGATTCTCTGATTTTTGTCGCTGAATTCGACAGTTTTGTCCTCTGAGATAACTACTGTTGTAATTTAGGGCTATACAAGAATAAATTGAATTGAATTGAATTCCCATGTCTGTGTAAATTTCCTCCGAGTGCTCCGGTTTCCACCACCCCTAAAAACATGAACAACAGGTTATGGGAGAGGGTTTGTGACTCTAGTCTGTGAAAGACGCTATTTGAATAAAGATTTCTTACACAATACAGTCTGTAATATTGGTGACCTGTCGTCAAATACTCATTGATCACAGCATTATGTGATTGTTTTATACATGTAGCGTTTGTTTAAGCATAGACACATGCGTAAGTGATAGTCCTATACTTAGTCACTCCATGTTTTCACAATAGCACGTCTGACAGGAAACTCACCTCCTCATGCAGCTTTTTGAGGAAGTTGATTTCATCTTGAAGCGACTCAACTTTCCGCTCCAGGTCCAGTCTGGCCAGAGCTGCATTATCCACATCCTGAACACATTATTTGTACATAAAGGTGAGATTATGAGGTTCTCTTTCTAACATACACGTTTTAGAGGCAAAGACAAGCCTTATGTGACTATATGAATAACTGAATGACCACGAGTCAACCAGCTTGCCTTCATTGATACATCAATACTCTATTGTTTAATGCTTTATTTTTTATCTTGACCCGCCACCTGCAGGGCTAAAAAATATGGACAAAAGGTCATATAGTAAATTTTTGTCTTATTAAAATATCCTTCTAAACATTAAACATGCCCGATCAAGGCCAAAGAGCTTGCGGGCCTTAGTTTGGACATGCCTGATCTACATTTTAGGATTAGGACGTTGTGTGAAAAGTTAATAAACAAATTAGTGGTCGTTACTGTACAAATACTCCACTTAAAATGTTTGTTAAGCGAATCCAACAAATACAGTGCACTTCATGTGACTAATAGTAAAACAGTGTTGTATTATAATTTAGATCATTTCCTTACTCTTGTAACTGTGTTGTTGGTATGTGTTCTAAACAGAATGATGGGGCTTTACTCAGGCCTAATGCCACAGACAGAGTGAGCCATTGAGCAGGGTTTCCCGAAGTCCAGTGCAGGGGTTGAAGCTGTCTTTCCAAATGAGTAAATACAGACTGGAGGCTGAGCATTGTGTTCTGCCACCGGGCGGGCAGCAGGGGTTTCCTTCCTGTTATTCTCTCACACATTTGCACGCCATGCCCTTGAAGAGAAACTGTGTAGTATAGTTTAGTTGTTTTGACACATGCAAAGACATTTTGAGACAAAAATAGAACTGCACTGCTAAAATTGTATCTAGCAAAAAATATATAATTAAAAAAACACAAATTACAGTCGTACAATCAGGTATTTCTCAAAAGTATTACAAACATGTCAATGACTACAAAAGCAGATCAATAAACCTGACTTATTTGCAACTTAATGGATTAAAATTTAGCCTCCAATGCCAAATGTAAGTGCTTTTTGTAAATTTTAAAGCCAGCTCACATTTTACTTTCTGTTTGGAAACAACCAATCAATCAAATGGAGAATTTATTTGCAAAAAACAATATCTTTGTTTTGAAAATGTGTCAAGAATGTTCTAAATGTCGCAGTGTCTCAACAGAATGTTTTGTTATTGGCAGAAATGTTTATATGGTTTTGCTCAAGAAGGGATGAAAGTGTATTCTATAATCTGTGTGCTACATCAGAATGCTGGACGGGCTTTGAATAGGACTGGTTTACAGTAACAAATGGTAAGATAAATGGTCAAAGTTCTGTTTAGCTGAACACATTACTGAAGGAATATATCTTCACTCTTTTGAATGTACTGTGACTATTGAAGTATGAATGATTGTTTATCTTGTTTGGGAAAGAACTTTGGGTTTGTGGAATATTCCAAGCCAAACAAGTCTCACGCCGCAGACCCTCAACTACAACAGTTACATAGTGGACATTTAAACAAATCAGCAAATTCTGATCGTGTCTCTTATGTCATGACAACCCATTGAAGCTCCAAGTATGACTCATAATATTAATTGCCCATAAAAGATTTCCCACAATGCCACAGCAAAAAAAAACTCTCAAAAAATGTCCCTTTTGGAGGAGCAGACAGAATCACATGGTGGCCTGTGTTCTCGCTCTGATAACCACATTTGGTCCACAGCGTTACACCAGGATCCAGCCCATTCTGTGTGACCAGTCAGACTTGAACAGATCTGGTCTCACTACAAGCCTGATTTAACTCATAAAGCTCGAACTTGGCCTTTTGTGCTGAAGCCAGGGCCGCTCTGTTCTACTCCGACGCAATTATGAACTGTGCAAAGTATTATTGCGGTTGTGTCATCAAAAGTGCATTCCTGTCTCTAAGCAGCAATTAGATTAGCTTTCTTTGAGAGACGGCGTGTGGTGAGTTTAGGTCACACATGTTCACTCATCTTTACAGAGTGTTCGAAACAGCTAAAGATGTCAAATGTTGGGCACTTAAAATAATGCACACACCACCTTTTTATTTCATTATTACTGTTATTTTCTGGTATTAAAGGAAACTAACTAGATGAATCATTTTTGAGAGATGAATGGAAAATAGTCACTTATATAGAACTTTTCAAGGCACTCAAATCGCTCAAGTGATATCCTGATAAATCTACAGTATTATTGAGCTCAAAGCAATTTATGTATTTTTTATTTCACTTTTTAGGCAACTCATAGAACAAGCTTTCAATAGTTTTTTCAGGTTAAAGCTACCAATGAGTACAATTTATAATATTTGTCTATTTGTTATTGTTAATGTGCTTATAATGAAGTGGGTGTACCAAGAAGTCTCTGTACAGACATGATGTGGCAAGTAATTTTACTTGAGTACTTTTATATTCTATCCTGTTATCAGTACTTTACTTGGGGGTGTAATAGTACTCCTTACTTTTGAACCGCAATATCTGTAATTTTTATACATTTCAAAATGACTGTGGTTAGCCCTACTTCTAAGATACCCATTTGGTTTAAGTAATGTTTTGTTTGTCATACAGTATATTCTATGCCAGTTTGAAACTTGTACAATGCTATTTTGTTGTTTAAGTCTTTCAAATACTTTCTTGTTTTATAAATAGATATACATGTTGTTTGTCCCAACAGACAGAGTTATGTAAAAGTAAAATGTTGGGCACTAATTAGACCACAGGGTCAAAAAGAGAGCTATTGGGCTTCCAAGTGTTATTTATTCGCACACATACTTGTGTCTTGTAGTCTTTTACATACTTGTTAAAAAGAGCCCTGTGAGTCACTTTTTGACGCTTTGGGTGAGAGCTGATTGACTAAGTGAGAGTGGTCCTTTCTATTTTATTTTTTTTGAATGAAAAAGCTGTTCTAAAGATCTGACAGGCCAAATATGTATGTGAAAACTTGACAGAAGCAAACTGTTTTGAGACCGATTGAGATTGATTTTTATTACATTGTTCAACAAGTTGTGGTTTGAATTTTGCAAGTAACTTTAAGTCAAATATATACTACTCACAGGAAGTTATTTTTATACACAATCTAAACACAGAAGAGCAGCCTCAGTGACAGCCTGTCCCACCCTCGCTGTGTGAAGGAGAGGTTCCGCAGGTCCTACCTGCCTGGTGCTGTCAGACTGTACAACAAGAACTGCTGAGCCTGTACATGTGCCAATCATTTGCTGATAATTATCATTTATTCTGGTCATATTCTCTGCTGCTAAAGTGCAATATTAGCCATCTGAAAATGTGAAACTTCTTGACTACTAACATAGTGTATACTGTACAGTAAGTGCATGTGTAGCTTGAAAATATATCATGTATTTATTATCTGTTCAATTGTTTGATGTGTGCATAACTCCAGTGCTCATATTATGTATACTGATGGACAAATAAAGATGATTCTATCTAAACTTTTACTTAAAGTGGCAATATACCTGTCTGAAGCACTGCATGTTGGCTTCAGCTTCGTCTCGCAGCGCAATTTCATCCTGCAACCTGCAATGACAGCAAACATGCGATCTAATTAATTGATAATCTACTTACAACAATAACGACTCATCTCATCAATCTCAGCACGCAACACAACAATGGTTTCCTCATATGGCAGCATCACGCAACAGACAGAAAAAGACTCAAAGTGGCACGCCCCCCATACTTCTCTCTCAGCCGGTCCCCATCATCCACCAGGTTGTCCCGGTGCACCTCTACGCGGGCCTTCTCGTTGGTGAGCTGGTCCACTTGTCGCCTCAGCTCTCTCATCTCCTCCTCGTACAGATCTCCCACCCGGGACGTGCCCTTTCCCCGGAGCTGCTCCAACTCGGCCAATAAGATCTTGTTCTGCTGCTCCAAGAAGCGCACTTTGTCAATGTAGCTGGCGAAGCGGTCGTTCAGAGACTGCATCTGCGCCTTCTCATTGGTGCGGGTCGTGATGAACTCGGAGTTGATGGCGTCGGACAGAGAAAAGTCCAAGTTTTCGGAGTTGAGCCGTGGCATGGGCGCACTGCTCCTGAGCCGCTGCGTCTTGGAAGCATAGAGGGTCGGAGCGGAGGAGACGCCGAAAGAAACACGTGAAGAGCGGACAGGGCTGGTGTATTGGCGGCTTGTATACGTGGTCCTGGATGTGGGTCGGTCCCCTCCAAACATCTTTCTGTACGAAGAGCGTGAGGCGGTGGTGGTAGTACCTCTGTAGGACATGTTGTGTATAGTGCGTGGATTTTTCTCTGTGGAGCTATGCGTCCTGCTTCGCGCGGTGTCCCAACAGCATCCGTTGAGTGCGCCTAGGAGGGCGTTTCCCAGGGCTTTACCCCCTTTATAATCTGGCCCCTCATGCAAATGCAGGCCAGAGGGACGTGAGTGGCACCCCGGGAATCCAATAACGCGCAGGGTGGAAGGGCGAAGGGGAAAAAAACGAGGATGAGAAAAGTGCGTACGTATGGGGTTGGGTGACAACTAATAATATAGGTCACTTTCTAGGACTAATTAAGTTATATATGTATATGCATGGACAATATTGAACTGACAAGGACATATAAATAAGTTCATCCAAGAATCATAACGTTTGTTGTAATGGCTGTGAGTTTGTTATCATTTCATTTCTGTGTTCAAACTGTTTGATTCTTTGATCTGTTGTTGGTGAATCGACAACTCTGAGGCGACTGGTGTAATTTAGGGTGAAAAAATTAATTAAATGAAATAGAATTGAATAACAAAGCATCAACCCACAGCCAGCTGAACAATAGACATAATATTATTTTTGATCACCCAGAGACAAATGTTCTTTTGTAATTTGCAGGATTGATTCCAATATTGTTCACAGCATGTTTCAATACACAATAGGCTAATTTTAATAGGCTAAATCTTTAAGGTCAAAGATACAAACACGGGGCAATAGAATAACATGCATTTTCATAATTGAAGCCTGCATGAGGCCATCACCTCTCAAGTATCTTTTTACAGACAACCTTTGCTTTGAGGCATTGGATATAACCACAATTTGTGCACTATTGAGTTAAAATCACATTTAAGTAATTGCGTTGAACTTTTAAAGCACAGCATGTGAATGTCAGAGGAGTCAACGACTTCAGTCTCAAATTGCCACAGTCTGCTGACCTCAATAGACGTCTGTAAGTCCATAGTTTCCAGAGCAGTAATAATGTATTTGGTAATGCATATCAGACATAAGGACACAGATACATAAGGACAAACAGAAACGGATGGGGGAGGGAAATTGGAATCAGGGGACACATCAAAGTCATGCAGTGCTCCAGTTCTGTACACATAAATGTTGTGACCTTTTAGTTATTACTGTTCTGAAGCATTTGCACACAATCAAGTGTACAAGTGTGAAATCCACTTGCTCAGACCTCTGCTGTATGCTGAGTGGTCTGAGCTGCAGGATTGCTGACTGAATGTTATCAACTATATAGCTGAGACGGTGACACTCTACTCCCAATAAAAAACACTGCAGGAGAAAATTGTTGTTGTTCCTGAACGTATTTTGAATGTCGGTGAATGCACATGCCTTATAGTTGTACATATAGCTTATATTGAGTATTGAAAATCTATTGTTAATTCATATGTAAATCAAGTCCTTGGTGCAATTACCATTCATGAAGCAGGGAAAGTCATTGACCCATAACGCAATAACAGAAGAATGAAATTGGCTATTCAATTTAGCAAATGCCACAATGTTCTTTTGTCCTGTTCTATCACATATCACAACCAGATATTGAGAAAATGATATTGGAACAGCAATTAGGCTTAGAATAACCAATAAATTAGGGGGCAATCCAATTTCAAAGCCTGATCAACCCTCCCTGAGGTTTCTCACTTTTTTTCCCTTGGGTTTTTTGTTCTTTGTCGATGCAGGAGAGTCTAAGGACAGTGATTATCCAGGATATTTAAGGACATTTATGAACATTTATTAAAAATAATGTACATTGGTCCACAGGGCACATGACTTATATGTGTTTGTTTTCATTGTATACCCTGTATTCAAACTGCTTGATTCTCTGTTTTTTGTTGATAAATTGACAACTTTGTAAAGTCCTCCAAGATTACTGATTTGATTTAGGGCTATACAAAAGTGAATTGAACTGAATTGAATATTAAAACGAGTAATTATTGAAGAGAGAATGAAACTTTTTGAAAACATGACAATGATCAGATCCACCCATGCTCACCCCTGCAGCTTCCTGATTGGTCAAAATTCATTCTAATAACCCTGGTCATTAGTTTAACTTTTCTAATCCGACAAATTTTACTCTTTGTAGTTATGTCTCAAGGATGAACTATTTAAAACATATTATTGTTGAAAAATGTACATAATAGTGCAGCATCCCAGAAATAGACATTATTTAAAAAATGAAATACAATTTAGTTTGCTGACATCCCCTTTAAATGTTTTGACCATATTGTGCAAGCGGCAGCCACACAAGAAGAGGCCAGTCCATGGGTAAACAGTGGAACCCCATTGCCAAAAGCTGCCATTCACATGATCAACATTCACTTCTGGAGGCTGAGGAGGGGCAGTTGAAATTCCTGCTCTCAGGCCTATTATGAGGCCAGCTCTGCCAATGTTCACGACAGACAGAGACCGAGCCAAACAAGGATTGTCCGACACAGTGGACATTGTATATTGCTGATCTGTCAAACTGAGGCAACAGAATGCAGACAGTAGGCCATAATTATTGTTGCGGCTCACATGTTTGTCTTTTGAGCCAAATTTTTGACATTCTTCTATTGGTGCTGAAAAGTAGACACTGCTTTTTATGATGTGGTAATTATGCAACTGTTTGGTCTTATACAATATAGATTGATAGATACTTTATTGATCCACGTATTGAATTTTCACATTCATGTATATCTTTGTCCTCTGTTGTTGGACCAGCTATGCAGAACTGTCACAAAGAGAGGACCACACTCAGACAATCAGCTCCAGCCCAAAATGTCAAACAGTGACTCGCGGTGTTTGTTCTTAACAAGTATAACATGTTTTCTAATGATATAGAGAAAGTATAATGTGGTCCTAATTTGTGATTTATTTTTTATTTTTTGTAAGGACATCATTCCCCAGCTTTACATTTGGCCTTTATCAATCATTTGAAAAGTGCATGAGTTACTGTGACAGTCTAAAGCAAGTATGTCTATAGAACTCTATGAAATCTCAATTTGCAGCTTGAAAAATGTATGGAAAATTACTTAACTGGCATGAAAATATAAAAGGCCATACAAAGTGGAAAAGGGAAAGATAGCATATTTGCAATTCTCAATGTGTTTCGTGTTCCTTTTATTCTAAAAGCTTGACTTTGGCCAAAGGAGCAACAGCACTACATGGGACCTCATTGCAAGAGCCAAGACTAGACACAAGCTGAAGTGTCAAAGAGCCATTAGTCACAGTCAGGCAGCTGCAGTGGGATGGGGTAAAAGAAAACTTTATCTTTTCACTTTCTGCCAGTATTTTAAACATAAAGGCACAACAGAGGAAAAGGACAAGCTTTGTTTTCCATCTCCCATGATGTTGAATCACCAAAATGCTAGCAGCTAGGGCAATGTATTCAATCAAATAACAGAAAATGGACACTATTCAACTCAAGAAAAGAAAAAACATCTGAAACATCACAATTATTTTGGACATTTGCTTCCCAATGGACTTGGAATAAAAAACATTGTGTTTTGCCAGCCTAAAATAAAACCAGGACTTCTTGTGGGTTAAGACATTGAATTTGCATGCACCAGTGAACACTGAAGGAACCAAAGTGAATCTTAATGACATAAAAAAAAGCAGCGAATTAATGACATCTTTATCTACAAACCAATGGAATGTATTATTTTACTGTTATGTAAATTTACTGCACACAAGAAAGAGTATTGATACGGCGTTTCATCTACACTACCTCAATAAAACTTGTCTGAAACATTTCTTAAAGTTTTTGTTAGCAAGGCGAGAATGCTTTCCTAATTTGGAGAGCCAGACTTGCCCCGAGTATTTCAACCAACAGAAGAATTAATCCATGGCAGGTTTTTTTCAACAGATCACCATGACAACTGACTGCCCCCCTGGAAAGTATCCAGGCTCCATAAAACCTTTGGCCATTGTTTCTCTCTCTCTTTGTGGCTTTCTAATTCTTTGTCAGCAAAGGGTCAGGGACAGGGAGAGAGACCCCTTACTCCCCCAGTTATTACTCTCCCTAAAGGAAAAACAGCACTCCCCTATACCACGTTTTTGCCCTAAACCTAATTCCTGGATAAGCAAAGCGTAGAGAAAGTTTGGTAGGGATTGTCCATCCATCCATTTTCTACCCTTTAATCCATTTCTGGGTCAGGGGGGTGGCAGTCAGAGATGCCACCCAAGTCTCATAGCACCAGCCCCTCACTGACCCTCTGCAGGTGGTGAGTCCACAGGAGGACGGCTGCTCTCTGAGTGTGAGCATAGCCTTGATCTTTCAGTGGGGGCTTTGGGCAAAGTGGGGTTAAGTGTCTTGCCCAAGGACACAACGACAGCAGACATCAGTGGGAGTCGATGGAGAAGGTGCAGAGGTGGGAATTGAACCTACGACCTTCTGGCCTTAAGGCCAATGCTCTACCAACTGAGCTACTGTCGCCCCTCGGTAGGGATTGTGATTGCGCTTATTTCAAGGAGTTCCCCTGGTTATGAGCACATTTGAACTCTGTCTGTCAGTGTTTGTTAAATCAACTGTCACTTTCATATGTCGGCTTGTATCAGACGGGGCTTGAATGACATGGGCAGATGACACTTGTCTTCACCCTCAGCTCCCTAACAGCAGGATACAAAACCACAATTACAAGTTCAAGAAAATCATTGTGGAAAATTACTAATTTTTTTACCAGCATACAAGACATCCACAGAGTGAAGAATATTAGACCCAGGGCGGGTTTATATGCGTCACAAAGCGTAATGACCTTGGAATCATCAAGCCGCCCAACAGTGAAAACTGCAGGCAGTAATGATAAAGGGTTTGATTATATCTCAGAATACTATGGCGTTCTACTGTTCTAGTTCATGTGATTTACAAATGACTGCAAAATAAGGATTTGTGGCCTTTTGCGAGATTAATTTAAGCTTGTGGTAAATCCTTTGGTATAATTCTCAGAAATAAATGAAACCTGCATGCATTACAAAAATTAAATTATTCTTGTTTTAATATCACAAAACAAAGGACATGATACATGGGTAATTGTGCCAAAATGCATTCACAGTATTATTTACATAACTTATATAGTGATAACACATGTTTCCCTCGCTTTCAACATAAAACTTTAAATTGATGAATTAAGTGACAAGTTACATGCTTTATAGTACAGCTTTACAAGGATGGCACTTTGAACCACAAGGACATGTGCTACAGTATTGGACAATACCGGTTACATCTCCACTGCAGCGTCTCCCCTGTCTCGTGTGCTTGCACTACTCGCCTCTCTCCACTAGATGTCCTACTTGCCTGTGCTACAGCTGAGGAGGCTTCTCCCTCAGGATGCACTTTTCTATCTGAAACTTTGAACTCTACTGAGGTAAATGAAGAAAGACTGCCATTCGTGTTTGTCCAGGTTTTTGCGGTTTGAACTAAAGGCTCAACCTTTGAATCAACAACTTTATTTCTTTCACTTTTAATACTTGTGTCATCTAAAAATGGGTCAGAATCACTCCCATGTGGCATATTGTAATAGGTACAATTTGGAGTCGCAGGCCTGGCCATATCTTCTAGCTCAGATGATGATAAGGCAGTAAGTGGATTGGATTGTGCTTGGTAACGAGTTGGGGAATCCTCTGCTACACTTGTCTCAATGGAAGTGTTGTCTGCACACTCGTACATGCCTAAAGATACTGGTGGAGACTTTCTAATTAGATGGTTCTCCTTAAGAAGCCATCTACCGTGGTCAATTAGGACTCCATCAGGCGAGTGCCTTTCAGGAACAGGTGAAACACATTGCTCTGTCTCTGGGGCATGATCATTGTCTGCTTTTAATGAGCTCGCAGCGCAGATATCAGACAAATCCCCCCTTGAGAATTGGGTTCCTGAGTCATTGGAAGAAAGGCTGCTTTGACTTTTACCAGACACGTGTGACAGCTTGGAGTCTGCTGCCTCCCGATTGAATTCTTCGTTCATGATAATTTGTGTCTGATATTCTGAATGCTTGCACACTGGGAAAGGTTTATCAAAATCTTCACTTTCTGTAACAATATCCAAAGATTCCTGAGTTTTATAGCCGCCGCTTTCCAAAGATTCAGGCCTATAATCGGTTAACTCTGATGTATTTGGACTCGGAAAACAATTAAAACCATAAGAACTATCTCTTCCAGTTCTTTTGTCGGGTTTAAAGTTTGGTGTTATTATGACATTACCCTGAGAGTCATATGTGAAAATAAGAGACGATGTCTGGAGCGCTGAGTTCACAAAATCTAATAATTCTTGAGATATTTCCACTGGATTAGCCAAATTGCAGTTCTCCCTGGTTTCAAGGTCACTAACACTTTGACTCCCATGACAATTCTCCTCAGCACATTTACTAATAGGCGAGTAGTTGCTTGTTGATTTAACACTTAGATCTTGCAAGCTTCCATCAATTACATCACAGCCGCTGTTCTCACAATCCAAATATGAGGCTTCTTCTAAAATAGATTTTGAAGGGACACTCCCTACACCTATCTCTTCACACTTATTACTAACTGCAGCGGTTTCACTTTCTGTTTCAGTTCCTTCACCAAGATTATCACCAACATTGCCCATCAAGTCCTCCTCATGTGAATGAGTTTCTTGGCTATGTTCCTCTTTTACTTCCTCGCAATCAACTGTTCCACCATGAACCAGGTTACAGTCCGTGTCTTCCAGTCGATCTTTATCTTCTTCCTCCTCCAACTCCGAGTCATTTTTCTCACTTACCGCTTTAGTTTGTTTATCTTCTAATGTGCTGCCGACTGAATCTCTGTCACCATCTTTTTCCTTATAATTTTCACTATCTTCAACTATAATTTCATTTTTTAAAAGCTCATTAGTCAAAGACGCTTGTTCCACATCACCACTCCCCTTTTCTTTTCCAACATTCATGGATATTTGACAGTCAAGTAAACCACACAAGTTTCCTGCGTCTGCCTTTTCTCTGCTTGCCACCTCCTCCTCATCTCCATTGTTTTTACCTTCCATATTACTTGTTTGTCTTTGTATTTTAGATTTGTTGTCAAATTCTGTCTCACCTAAAGGGCAAAGACAAATAGCTTGTTGGATTGCTGTGGAAATGTCTGCTCTTAAGTCTGCTGGCATGTTTAACTCATCCATGAGTTCGATCATTCCCAACTGCTCACCAAAGTCTTTCATGTTTTGACAGACGGTATCCTCTCCAGGTTCCAATGTTTTAGTTTTCTCAATCTTTGTCTGATAATCCTGCCATTGCTCTTTCAACTGAGACGATGTACTGTTTTGCAAATCGCGCAAACTGGCTCTGAGATTTTTCTGATTGTCAATAGTGGATATTTTTTGCAGAGACTCCATCATTAGCATAGCGTCTGAGGAGATTCTTGGACTAGATCCACGACTGGGCTCAAAGTCTGTTAGACAGTCTCGCAGTGTCATCATTGATAAAAATGACAGAAAGGTTTTGCACGAAGATCCAAATATTGATGCCACTTGTGAAGGGAAGTCGGGAAGACTGGTGGATTTTGTGATATGGTGTTCAGGGTTAATATTAGAAGCTCTGTTAATGCATATAACAGATGAGCAAATTTGCCGAATCACTGGTTGAAGTTTATCTTTAGGATTCGAAGTAATATTGCTTGCACAATTTATAGGGATGTCAGATTTATGCGACCTTATGCCATTCTGCGAAATCTCCCTTAATGTTGGCTCTGATACTGCACTTTGTATTTGCCCCTTTTGACAAAGAGGCACTGAAAGGTTAGAATCTGATTTCTTCACCATACCCTCACTAGATGTAGGATTGTTTTCCACATAAAACTGACACTGACTTTTATCTTCACCTTCAGAATCATCACCGACTTGAAATTCTACTTTGCTTTGAGATTTGTTGTCCTCATCCATGTATGGCACAACTTCCGGACTAACTTTCTCCAACCAGTTTTCAACGTATTGATGAATTTCTGATGGCGATGGATTGACAGAAGCTACAACTGCACTACTTTCACCTATTTCCACGGACTTCTTGCTAGAGCAAAGAGTTTTGTTCAATGTTTTAGATTTTGAGCTTGTCTTTTGACTCGCTGGAAGTATTTTTTTAGGCTTCAAGATGTCAGATATGCTCTTTTTCATTGCATTAGTTGAGTTCTTTGTGTCCGGAACATTTACATTGTGACCGTTGTATGGGACTACTTTATTGGGGCTCCTTGTGTGCTTTTCTGTCATAACCCTGTCTTTGTTAGATGACTTGACAATTAATTTCTGTGTTTGCAGTTTGTCTTCTATTTTACGTTTTTGACCATTTCCAATACTGTCTTCTGAACTCTTTTTAACACCTTCTTTGTTGTTTAATTTAACAGAAAAAATATTTTTGGAAGAAACTAAGGCTTGCTTTGATTTTTTATCTAAACCGGTTTCAGATTTTGGCTTAACATTCCTTTTCCTTTGTCCTTTACTTGCTTTCACTCCATCGCCTTGTAAGGGAAAGGTTTGGGCCATGGGTTCTGTCACTAGAGAAATGTTATTTGTAATCTTACCAGAAGTGGACAGTGGCTCAGAGGATAAAGACAAAATCTCCTCGTTTTGATGCTGCACTGGGTCAACAACAGGTGGCTGCCAACAAGCATCAATATCAAAATCGTTGCTTGTAGATTTCTTCCCACTATTGTCTGGTCCTGGGAAGGACGCATCCAAAGGCACACTGTCTAAACTACATTTCCCATATACAAATTTAGCATCACAAGATTGATCTTCAAAAGTATGCATAACTGTTTGTTTAAGTCCAAATTGATCATGTTCAACTTGTAGGATTTCTGAAAAACCATTATTTGAAACAAGTTTTCTCGGTTTTGGAATTGGGCGACTACTGCGGCTGCTGCTATGGCGAACCACACGGTACTCCTCTGTTGTGTCTTTATCTAATGTCCTTTTCGCATACGTGTGTTGGTCCATCTCGTGAAGTTCTGAGTGTTGTATCACTTTCACACCTTTCTTTTTCACATGCCCAGGACCTGGTGTGGGAGCACGCTTGAAAGTGGATTTTCTTTCGATGACTTCAGGAGTATCTGAAAATGTCTCTTGTATAAAGCCAACGCTGCTTTTTTTCTCAGGAGGAAGATTTGCCTCTTTTGTCTCCTCTTCGCTGACGTTGTGTTTTTTTCCTGTTGCATCATTGAAGTCAGGTGAACTGTTGGCTGATTCAGAAATCATGGGGTAGGAAGGCTTTTTTCTCAGGCTAGTTCTGCTAAGAGTTGTAGACCAATGCAGCGTCTCCTCCTGCTTTATTTTCAAACGTACTTTCATCTCTACCGTCATACTACCATCTTGATTGACTCGAAAGGACTTCTCAATATCTTCATCCTCAGGTATAACGCAAGCGTGGTATTGATTTTCAACAATTGAGTTGGCACATGTTTCTATGACTGTGTCTGCGTCCACTGATCCATTGGGAACATGGTGGCTGTTCAAGTTCCCATACCGGGATTTGTTGATTTGCTTCACAATGTAACTTTCTGAAGATGGAGAGAATTTTCTGGCACTTTTTCCATGAGATGATTTACTATTGTTAACTATATGTTGGAAAACATGAAAAAGAGAAAACAAAACACTTTTTTTAAAAGAAAGAAATATACTACAGTTCAAACAAAATATCTGTCTTAAAGTTGAGGTGCCTAAAATCAAATTACTGCAAAAAAATTATAAAACATGAGGTAATAATTGCTTGAATCCCGTGCCTTCATTCTGTCTTAAAACAAGATTTGCCATTGGAAAAAGCCATGCAGTCTAATTTAAAGAACTGTTGCCTTATTTTCTCTTCCCAAGGGAGACATATCTTGTATTTTTTAAAGACAAGATTAATTGGCTTGTCCCATTGGTAAATCTTGTTTTAAGGAAGTTCAAATGTGCTCAAATTCAGATACATATTGCCAAATTTGAGCAATTTTAAACTATTTTTGCAGTGTAGTTCTTTGTTCTCAAAACAATTTGGATATCACTAGTTATCACATGCATGCACTTTTGGCCTCTGTCACATCTTTAGATCAGCTTTTTCAGACAGAAAGTGAAAAAGGGAGGACAGGTGTGTATGTTACAGCCAATCAGCTCCCAGCCCTAAGCGTCAAATAGTGACTCACTGGGCTCTTTCTTTCAAGTTTGCAATACTTCAACAATACTCTTCATATTGGGAAAAACAACATGGACAAGTTAGGCACCCCATCTTTAAGCTTTAATACATTATTATAAATGACACTTACAGGTTTGAAGTTGTGAGAAAGATGTTTCACTTGTCTCCATAAACATGGCTTGTGCCGTCTGGCTATTCTTTTGAAATCTGTAGTTTGCCAACCTGAATGATTCATTGCCCGCTGCTACAACCACACCAGAGCACAAAATGAGAGCAGCAAGTCCATCAACCTGAAATGAGAATTAATTTTAGATTTACATTAAAAAAAAGAAAAAAAAGCATTTATTCATAATTCAATTTGGAGTCTCAATGAGACATCTAAAAAGAAAGAGAAAAACATTTCTGGATGGTTCAATTATGAAACCCACAGATTTTCATAAATGTGTAGAAAGGTTCCATTGGTCTTTCCTCCCAGCTGCAGTCACACTGTACAATAAACATACAGGACTGATGGACACTGCTGACCTCACATGTCATTCATCTGTGGCAATAGAGTGTGCAATATGGGTCCACTTGTGTCAACCGTCACTTTAATTTTCTTTCAGAGCCTCATGCTGCTAACATGTACAGTAAAATCAGATGCTGCTAATATGTACAGTAGTATCAGATGCTGCTAACATGTACAGTTGAATCACATGCTGCTAACATGTACAGTAGTATCACTAACATGTACAGTAGTATCAGATGCTGCCAACATGTACAGCAGTATCACATACTGCCCAGATATATATTGATGATTCTGTGTGACTGTTATCTAAATAACACAAATAAAGCTAAATCCATGCACCTTTGGGACATACAGTTACTAACCCGTCTTCCATCTGTGGAGTAGAGTTTCAGCACCGGGAACTGCAGAGCTTGAGAAAGATAATCCAACAAGGCATCAAATGTAGGTGCAGTCCTTTTCTGTAAGATAATTGTCCGTCTAACACTGGGATCTCGATTCTTGATGACCTCAAGTCTCTTTGGTGTCCTGATAGACACTCTCTCTGTCATTTTCCTCATAGTTTGAATAATTACTTCCCGCCGCTTCCGCCTTGCGCTCACAGGTCTGGTTGCATTCCATGGAACTTGACGTCGGTTCAGTTCCTTCAAGTTCATAGGTTTCACTCGTTTCTGATCTGAACAAACATACGAGCCTCCATCATACAACTCATCCAAGCCTTTTACATAGTGTACTCCTTGAGGTGTAGTTATTGTCCTTACTCCAAAGGCCAAAGGCACTTTTTTAGATAGAGCATCCAGAAGAGCTTCAAAAGTTTTGAAAGTGCGAGCATTGATGACCATACGATGTCCATTGAAAGTGTAATCCCCACTTTTATAAAAACACAATCTTTTAGAAATCAAGGGTTCTGACACAGGTAACTGTCGAGACAGCAATGTGTACCCACTGCCGAAGGAGCCCCTCTGGGCCGGCTGCTCCTGGGACTGACTGCTCATAATGAGTTATCTGGAAACAAACAAGAACAATCATTTTATATTTAAAGGGAAAAAGGTAGTTTCTTCATTTTTTACTAGTTGATTCTTAGGATGAACCAACCTCAAAAACATAGGCCTCCTATAATGTAACCTGCTGGTGACTCCAACATGCTAGTAGGATAAGACTTGACTGCCATGAAACAGATTAACTAAATACTCAAAGCTCAGAGTGGTAGAAAAAATAAAGAAAACGTAACTTCACTGTTAGAAGTATACTTTAAAAACATGCTTACCTTAAACGTCACATTTCATATAGAATGTAAATGGCATTGTGAGAGAAAGTAGTGTCCCGTTTTCTACTGAGCGCTCGACAAAGCTTCTCAAGGAGCCGTCAGGAGCTATTTTAGGACGTGCACCATCATGGCCAATCTGGCTAATCTTTTCTCATCGGTAAAGGGTTCAAAATAAGGCACCGGCAGAACTTTTCTTTTAAATTAAATAGAGTAAATGTATCTTTTTTATGTTATACTACTTTCCAACTATAAAAAAGTTCGTAATGAACCTGATAATGAAGGCTGTAATCAGTAAAACTATCAAACTTACAGGGTCTGTGAAGCTCTCTTATTATGCATTATCATGTAATTTAAAAATTGTAATATGTTACTATGTTAATATAAAAAATAATTTCCAGATAAATTATTTTGATTTGATTGATTTAGAATCCCTGGCATTACAATAGGCCGTATGTTGATTCACTGTCAGCTACTGTCTGCAGACAATGAGTAATTCACAAATATTTGAACAATCATAGCTGGTATGAACTATTTGTAAATCAGCCCGCAGCCAAACTATATAATCTGATTTGAAGCGTCCTGACCTAATAGGGATTAAAGTGAAGATTGTGTGCGTAAGAAAAGAGAAGCTCTTTTCGCTCTCAGCAGACAGAAGCTCTTTGGAACCGTTAGTGATGCTGTAATTTGTGAGGTTGTGTTTCTGGTGGAATACCTTTTAGACATGCAGCTATCTATGATTTGATAGCAATCTATAAAATATAACCTTAACAAAGTAATATATTGTCTTTTTTACTTTCAACACAACATCCTCAAAGTATACTGCATATATTTAGACAAATGTATGTTGCATCGTTTCAATGAATGAGGCGTTTGTGCTTGAAATAAAACGTTGATATTGATTGCTTTATGATGATAAGCGTGGTGTGGTACCACACGGAAACAGCTCTGTGTAACATTAGCTCTCAGGCACAGTTTTCAAGTTTTAATAATTTAACCAATTGATCAAGGCAATTAATTTGTAATCAAAGCATTTAGTCCTAGTTGTATTAATCCATGTAATGGCTTCAAAGAAAGAGAGTGAGAGCTATCCCAGTGCTGGAGAGTGTGGCAATTACTGTGTTGCAAGGCCTCTTACTGTGTCCACGGCGAGCAAACGCACAACTGTATAGAGACAGAACCTACACTACAACCCCCTTTGGGATTATTTACCTTTTTACCTTTGCCATTCCATGTTCCTTGGGTACATTCTGACCTAGGTCAATACACCCCCAAGCAGATTGTTCCCCCTATCATAACAGTTAGGGTACATTTAACTATAAATTAATCCATCTCTATAGTTCCTCACTCTCACAATTTTTTTTTCAGAGGGAAAAGTGAAAAGGAGGGGACAATTATCACTCAGCCAATCTCTTATCTCTCTATCTTCTTATACGCAAAATATCAGAATATTGTAATTTAAAAAAGATTGTGGCTTAGAAATATGTGGTATGTCCCAGCAGGTCAGGAGATAATTATGAGACGTTATAATTAACTATATAATTAGCTATGTGTTTGAAAAGGTGAAGATTGTTTTCTGGGTTCAAAGGCAAGGCAATAGCAGTGAATGTATTAGTCATCCCAGCTTTATTATGTGGCAAATTGTATATATTTTTAGATAGAGACTTTTAAATTGACTGTCGAAAAGGTGTCACTTTCCAGATAATCCCGGCAACTCCATCAGTAGCTCTGTCTCGACTGCTCATCCTGGCTCCAGCTCTGTCATGGACTCGCCAGGTCTGCTACACACCGTGGGTCCACTGTGCGCGGTCGGAGCAGCCACCGCCGCTGATTCCGCTGTTGTGGCGTGCTCTATTGTCGCCAATTTCCACTCAATTCAGTCATTCATTTGGCTCGAAGGACTCCCATTAAGATGGGTAAAAAGGAGGAAGAGGATATCATCAGAATCGCGAAGAAAATCGATAAAATGGCGCAGAAGAAAAACGGGGTAAGGCGCCACAGAAGAATGAATGCTCCCTGTTAGCTGCTAGCGCTGTGCTACTGTAAAAGCGTATACAGTAGCACGCCAATGACAATGACGAAAACGTTGGATTTCTTTCTCCACATCCCAAATATAACGTTGTGCATTGACAGCAATTCTAAAGCAAAGCCTCAAGTTGAATCATATTGAACAGACGACGCTGGAAAGCCTTGTGTTTATGTTAGCTCTTCAGCATCAACAACGGGACTCTTAGCTAGCCACAATGCTAACTGATGTTATTTCGTAACAACAGCATTACAATTGATGTCACCAATTAATGAGCTTAGTTTACGTTAATATTTCACAGAAGCGTGATATACACTAGCATGCATTGCAGTTGTTCAGTCTGACCCTGCATGCATTGTTTTGAATTGTTAGCCTTATCATTAGCTGCACAGGCTGCAATCATGCTACATGACCGTCGCTACTGATTTGATAGTGATTTTTGAATTACAATGAAGTAAGAACATCCATGTGAAGCCTCTCGTTTGAAGTGAGTAATTTAACTGCGTATGCAAAGCTTTCTCCAGGGATACTTCTCTGATTGTTTAGATACCACAATCTGACAATGATTTGTCCATTACGGACATATTGTTTGTAAAGTTCTGTGTCTTGCATATTGATTGTAAAAGTATGGTGCCTCATTGACACTTTTTATAAACAGTTATTGCTGTGGTGGCAAAAATTACTAAAGCTGGGTTTGAGCGTTGGGGCGACAGTAGCTCAGTTGGTAGAGCACTGGCCTTTGAGCCTGAAGGTTGAGGGTTCAAGCCCACCACGGGACCTTCTCCACCGACTCCCACTGATGACTGCTGTCGTTGTGTCCTTGGGCAAGAGACTTAACCCTGCATTGCCTGATGCCCCCGCTGAAAAATCAAGTCTGTATTGTCAGAGCAGCCGTCCTCCTGTGGACTCACCACCTGCAGAGGATCAGTGAGGGGCTGGTCCTAGGTGAATTGGGTGCAGCTCTGACTGCCACCCCCCCCCCCCCCCGACCCAGAAATGGATTAAGGGGAAGAAGATGGATGGATGGATGGGTTTGAGCGTAATGAGGCATTTTAATGGTTAACAAAGAGTTTATGGGGGTTTCTGTCTCGTAACGTTTGAGTAAGATAAGATACAGGATATTAATGGGTTTATAGTGATTGACCATCTCCTTTGATGTGACTGTTTCCCTTATGTGGATGATGTTGGAAGGGGGACACAGTCCTGTTCCTGCGTCCTCTGCCCCTGTCCTTTCGACCCCCCCTTGTTTCTCTCCCCTTCCTACCTTGCGCATGTAGTCATAAGAGGCATTTTTCCTCTGGCAATTGGCCAATGAGGGTCCTGACCATTCTGATAAAGCTTGAGTGAATCCCATTGCTCAGGAGAAGTCTTCTGCTGGGACCTGCAGAAGCCTCTCCTTTGCAAAATTAATTTAATTTGCACTTTGTTACTTCATTAAACAACTACACAAATGCAGTTCTGTTTCCCTGGATCATTTCATAGAAAACATTGTATCTTTTTTTTCTCCAGGCTGGGGCCTTGGACCTTCTAAAAGAACTGCGTTCCGTTCCCATGACTTTGGAACTTCTTCAGGTATTTGTTTACTAGAGGTGCACCGATCGATCGGTAGCCGTTTATAATCGGCCGATGCGTGATCGGTGAAATGTGCCGATCACAAAGACCGATCAGATGACATGAGGGTTCGTGCGCACAAGTTACGTTCTCTCGTCAAAACTGCGTAAACAAGCAACTCATGCAGCTATCAGTAACGGAGATTCTACAGCGGCAACAACCACACAGTAATGACGTAAGAAAGAACACATATGCACGAAAGTTATGGAATTTATTCCCCTCTGCCACCAGCGCTTGTCTGTTGCGGAAAGCGCTGGGTTCAAACGCTGTCCACTGCTTCAAAATAAGTGTAGTGTTAGTACAGACAGTCCTACGGTGTCGCAGATTTAGCGTTACTTACTACGTAGTTGCGCATTGGAGCTGTCAGCCGCTTGTTTATTGGAAAGTAAATAAAAGCCGCTTCCCTCCTTTGGCCAAAGCAGCGTCTTTCCTCTGCGCGCCATGTACAAGTACAAGTACAAGTGAAGACAGTGAGAGTTTAGCGCAGCGGGACTATTCAGAATGATACACGTAATAAACTCCTGCAAATGCTGTGATGCTAATATTACTGAAGTAAAAACATTGCCTTAACTATCTCTTCTTAATCAGTTTAGAAATGCACTATGTACAGTATTGCTGTATTTCATTGCATTTTTTTTTGTATCTCAATGCTCTGTAACGTATAGTTGTGGTTCCCAACGTTTTTGTCTTGAGTACCCCTAGGGAATTGTATTTATACTACCTAGTACCTTGATGGTTTTGAAAGATTAGTTATAAAGTGAATAACTAGTCTTATTCATTTATCACTAATATTTTCAATATTTGATCGGATCGGCCATGATCGGTATCGGCCGATCATCGGTGATCGGCCAAAAAAATCCTGATCGGTGCACCTCTATTGTTTACCACTGTCATGAAAGTTAGGTGAACGATATTAAATGTAAACTGATATTGTCTACCTACAGTCAACAAGAATTGGAATGTCCGTCAATGCCATTCGAAAGCAGAGCACCGATGATGAGGTGACCGCTCTTGCAAAATCTTTGATAAAGTCATGGAAGAAGCTTTTGGGTAAATATATGGCATTTTATTTAAAATGTTAAATGAGCTTGTTGTTCTTATTTTAAGTACTAACAACGCATGTTTTAAATTGGACTTGGCAGATGCCGAACCAGGGGCTGATAAATCTTCAGAAGAGAAGAGAAAAGAGTCATCGGCCTCAGCCTCGCCATCGCAGGGCAGTCCAGAAGCTAAAGAAGAAAGGTGAAAAATAATGACATTTTTGTCAGTTTGACATTGTTCTTCACATTGTCCTTGAATGTCGTAACAGCAGCTCCAGCAGTAACTCCAGCAGCAAGAGTGAGTCTGTGGATGTTGCACCAAACACATTAATCAACACCTTTCCTCGAGCCCCAGGCACCTCGGACTCCATTCGGATCAAATGCAGAGAAATGATTTCCGCTGCTCTGCAAACGGGAGGTAAACACATCCACACAGTTATGATCTGCATAATTTAACATCTGAATGTAATTTTAACTTGTTTTTTTCTGTTGAAGAGGATTATATTGCTATTGGTGCCGATTGTGACGAACTTGGCGCTCAAATCGAAGAATATATCCTTTTCACTTACAATTTAAAATCCTCTGAGCTTGGTCTTTTTTGACATTATTTATCACACACACAAACCATTTTTTGATGCTGTTGCTAATGTTGAATTTCTTGACCTGTCTCCACGTATTTATCAAGAGTTTAAGAACACAGACATGAAATATAAGAATCGAGTTCGGAGCCGCATCTCAAATCTAAAGGATGTGAAAAACCCAAATTTGAGGAGGACTGTACTTTGTGGCAGTATAACCCCAGAGAGGATGGCGAAGATGACCTCTGAGGTATTCTGTTCTTTTCTGTTATCCCTGCAAATGAAGCCAATTGTGTTGTTGTATGAGTATTTATAGTTGTCACTATGAATGAAGGAAGACTTTATTTTGGCAGAGTTTATTTAAAATGTATAACCAATATAATGGAATATGGAGTAATAATTTATATATTTTTTAAATGAGTTATGTGCAAAATATAATGTTGAATAGAAATCGAGCTCTTTTTGGGATGATTATATATGTAATCATTCTACATGTTCATCAATGTGACTGTCAATACACATATATTCATGTATTGGTACAGTGCTTGGACTATTAAGTGCACCTGTATCTAAACCACACCAGGTACATTTATACATGTTGTCCTCATATAGTAATAATAATAATGCATTTGTTTTATATAGCGTTTTTTTTGGACACTCAAAGACACTTCACATGTCATTATTCTTTCACTCCATACACGGTGGTGATAAACTACTAGCTGCCCTGGGGCATACTGACAGACCACCACCACCCATACACACGCTAGACTAATTCTATGCAATGTGGGTGAAGTGTCTTGCCTAAGGACACAACGGCAGTTTGACACTTTACAGCCGCAGCCGCCCCATTGTGGCACCTGGTGTTCCCAGTGGTGAAGTGTCTTGCTAAGAACACAATGACAGCAGACATCAGTGGGAGTATGTGGAGAAAGTCTTATGGATGTATTATATTATTAACCGGGAGACAGTGGCTCAGTTGGTAGAGCATTGGCCTTTGAGCCTGAAGGTTGTGGGTTTGAGCCCACTGCGAGACCTTCATTGACTCACTGATGTATGCTGCCGTGTCCCTGGGCAAGACACCTAACCCACTTTGCCTATAAGAAGTGCAGAAGTAATGTTTGTTCCATGCCTTGATGTGTATACATTGCCTTGCGAAAGTATTGAACCTTTCAACATTTTGCCACATTTCAGGCTTCAAACATAAAGATATAAAATTTAAATTTTTTGTCATTAATCAACTACAAGTGGGACACAATCGTGATGTGGAATGAAATTTATTGGATAATTTAAACTTTTTTAACAAATAAAAAACTGAAAAGTGGGGCGTGCAATATTATTCGGCCCCTTCACTTTCAGTGCAGCAAACTCAGTCCAGAAGTTCAGTGAGGATCTTTGAATGATCCAATGTTGTCCTAAATGACTGATGATAAATAGAATGCACCTGTCTGTAATCAAGTCTCCGTATAAATGCACCTGCTCTTTGATAGTCTCAGGGTTCTGTTTAAAGCGCAGAGAGAACCATGAAGACAAAGGAACACACCAGGCAGGTCCGAGATACTGTTGTGGAGAAGTTTAAAGCCGGATTTGGATACAAAAAGATCTCCCAAGCTTTAAACATCTCAAGGAGCACTATGCAAGCAATTATATTGAAATGGGAGTATCAGACCACTGCAAATCTACCAAGACCCGGCCGTCCCTCCAAACTTTCATCTCAAACAAGGAGAAGACTGATCAGAGATGCAGCCAAGAGGCCCATGATCACTCTGGATGAACTGCAGATAACTACAGCTGAGGTGGGAGAGTCTGTCCATAGGACAACAATCAGTCGTGCACTGCACAAATCTGGCCTTTATGGATGAGTGGCAAGAAGAAAGCCATTTCTCAAAGATATCCATAAAAAGTCTTGTTTAAAGTTTGCCACAAGCCACCTGGGAGACACACCAAACATGTGGAAGAAGGTGCTCTGGTCAGATGAAACCAAAATCGAACTTTTTGGCCACAATGCAAATCGATATGTTTGGCGTAAAAGCAACACAGCTCATCACCCTGAACACACCATCCCCACTGTCAAACATGGTGGTGGCAGCATCATGGTTTGGGCCTGCTTTTCTTCAGCAGGGACAGGGAAGATGGCTAAAATTGATGGGAAGATGGATGGAGCCAAATACAGGACCATTCTGGAAGAAAACCTGTTGGAGTCTGCAAAAGACCTGAGACTGGGACGGAGATTTATCTTCCAACAGGACAATGATCCAAAACATGAAGCCAAATCTACAATGGAATGGTTCACAAATAGACGTATCCAGGTGTTAGAATGGCCAAGTCAAAGTCCAGACCTGAATCCAATTGAGAATCTGTGGAAAGAGCTGAAGACTGCTGTTCACAAACGCTCTCCATCCAACCTCACTGAGCTCCAGCTGTTTTGCAAGGAAGAATGGGCAAGAATTCCAGTCTCTCTAGGGGTGGGAACCTAAGGGTACCTCACGATACGATACGATAACGATGATATCACGATAACGATATCACAATAACGATTTTCTCACGATATGACGATTGATATATTGGTCAGAAATATACAATATGCCAATTTATGGCATAAATAAAAGAAAAAAATACACTTTATTTCATGATAAATGGAATGGAGATGCGTAATGTAGCAATATATTAAGTATTGATTCCAATTTTAAAAAAAAGAAAATTGTAAAAAAATATTTTTCAAAATCGATTTCGATACTCGGCAAATGCATATTGATAATCGAATCGCGGGAGAAAGTATCGCGATATATCGAAAAATCGATATATCGTCACACCCCTACTCTCGATGTGCAAAACTGATAGAGACATACCCCAAGCGACTTGCAGCTGTAATTGCAGCAAAAGGTGGTGCTACAAAGTATTAGCGCAAGGGGGCCGAATAATATTGCACGCCCCACTTTTCAGTTTTTTATTTGGTAAAAAAGTTTAAATTATCCAATACATTTTGTTCCACTTCACGATTGTGTCCCACTTGTTGTTGATTCTTGACAACAAATTTAATTTTTATATCTTTGTTTGAAGCCTGAAATGTGGCGAAATGTTGAAAGCTTCAAGGGGGCCGAATACTTTCGCACTGTATGTGTATTCATCAAAACTGAATTTTCCCCACTGTGGGACCAATAAAGGACCTTCTTCTTCTTCCTTAGTGGCGAACACGTTAGCAGCATGCTACAGTCATGGTAGAACGTAATATCAGGGTGAAGACATATGTTCACAAGCACTCCGTCCCCCATTGTCAGCCCTGGTTTAATCCTGGTTTAGTCCTAGTTTAGCTCTTGATCACACATGATCCGGTGTGAAAGCCCCATAACAAAGTACAAATGCATTCATTGGCTGCATCACTATATAGGCCTCAGAGTTAAAAGAATGTGAAAATACTAGTGGCTTATAGTCCAGCAAGTGCTTTAATACTATCTTGTCTGTATACGTCCTTAAACCCATTAATGTTTACTTGAAAACTTGAGCAGTTTATTTAAATGTGCCATTCTCTTTGATTTTGTACTGGAGCAAATAAGAAGCTCAATGAGTATTATGTTTGATGGCACCAGGGGTGGGATTAAATCAGTTTTCTTCTTCCCACTCCTTTTTGAGTATCTACAAGTGTTTCGTTTGTGTATTTAATATTTATAATTTTGAATTATGTTAATGTAACTCAAGGTTATTCATGTTTTTTTTATATTCTACTTTTGTTTATTGTACACTTATTTGCTCAAAATAAACATGGCTAAAATACTAAAACAAGAACATGGGATTAAAATGTATGTTTAAGAAACATTTTGGGATCCATTGTGAAGGTTTGACCACTTGCCACCAAAGTGTCCTAGAGTTTTTGTGCTACCACGGTTTGTCACCACTTACCAGTTCTGATTTTTTTTTTCTTCCACCAGTGCAAAGCTTAATATAATGGTAATAAAATATATTCTTCCTTTTTTAACACACCTATTTTCTTACGATCATGACTTCAAATATGGCACAATTCATTCTTGGTAGAAATGTCCTTAAAGCAGTCGGTAATATGTTGTGTATGAAGTTCAGACGAATAATAAAGTCGAAACTGGTACATTCAACATTGTTTTGTACTTTAAGGAGATGGCGAGTGATGAGCTAAAGAAGATGAGGGAGAATTTGACCAAAGAGGCTGTGAGGGACCACCAGATGGCCACAACAGCAGGCACCGTGACTGATCTTTTCACTTGTGGCAAATGCAAGGGCAAGGCCTGCACCTATACACAGGTAAGACTGTTGTCATTGAATCAGATCGGTTTGTTAGGCTTCTGACGGGAAAGCTTTATTCAATAGAGCCTTTGGTTTATTTAGCTTTCAAGCTGTGAAAATAGCTCACTCTTGTTTTGTCTCATTGTGCACTGTGACATTATCTGTTAATTTTTAGCTACAGTGGTTTGGGATTTCTTGATCACTTTGTCGAGTTTAGATTTTTGAAAATGTGCCTTTTTGTCTCTCCACATTGTAAACCCAATTGAATGGAACTGTAACACGTCTTCTCAATCTCAGTCCGCAGTGTGAGACAAAGTTTTGTGGAAAATTTACCTCGTGATGACAAAATATAAATGGTCTTTAGTACTTGGTAATGGAATGTTATGTTAATTTTTCCATCATATATATATATATATATATATATATATATATATATATATATATATAAAATTAGGGCGGTCAAAATGATCGCGTTGACGCACATTAATTAATGTTTTTCATTAACAACGCCGTTTGCTGAATGACCCGCCCATGCATCGCATAATAACACTCAGAAGAGACGCTCACAGGCTTCTCATTTTAAGAAACCCCCCCTACTCTCTCCTCTCACAGAGCCATGTAGTTTTAGTAGCGATCTGATAGGCGTTAGTCACCATTAGCACAACTTCTTATAAGCTGTACAACAATCACTGATGAAATGGTACCAAAGCAACGCACTGCTTACTTATCACCAAATGTACGATATATACATAATATCTTTCACTTATATATGTACAATAACTGAAAGATTACTGCTTGTTTCGTGTCCAAATGTAGTCTGAGGTTGTCCCGTTCCTGTCTCTCCAGAGAATACGATGTAAGCTAGCTATATTCACCTGGGCTTAATTTCTTCTTTGATAATTTTTCCGCTTTAGTTCCATCTCCTCCTCACTTTAGCGACTTTTGGGCTGTTTTCCTAGTTACAGCCAGACGAGGTATAGCCACTTTCTGCTCCCATGCTGCTGTTGTTTACATGCGCTGCAGGCGCTAGAGGAGGCGTGGTCTAGGAGAACGAGCATCACGCAAAGTTTTTATGGCCTGAATTCATTTACCAGCTGAATCAATGAGCTCAATTTTTCAATTAAATTACGGGTTCTAATACAACTTTTAATACAACTTAGAAAAAATACTGTCTACTACAGAAAGTCAGAACGTGAATAATGTAGATGCCGTTTTATGTAGATTTATTGTTATAATAAACAAATACTGTACTTAATACTCATTAAAACATTTGCCCTGGGGCAGAATGGCTGAAGTGAGGCTACTAATCTGTGGCATTGGCCCTTCTGAACAGACTGGTTGTGTTTTCATTTGTGCTCTCATTGATATAATCTTTGCATAATCATTTGCTTTTATTCATTACTTTTTGGTGTCACTTCTCAGGTCCAGACCCGCAGCGCTGATGAACCTATGACCACGTTTGTTTTCTGCAATCAGTGTGGAAATAGATGGAAGGTATGTTTTGTTCTTTTGACCCCTTACAATAGAACCGGGGTGCTCAATGTGTCAATCAGCTGTACTTAAAGATCACGGCTTGCCTTTCTGAGCTGAAAGGCAAAGCTCTCCATTTATACCGGTCAATCTTTGTCCCCTCCCTCACCTATGGTCATGAGCTTTGGGTAATGGCTGAAAGAACGAGATCGCGGACACAAGTGGTCAAAATGAGCTTCCTCCGCAGAGTGGCTGGGCACTCCCTTAGAGATAGGGTGAGGAGCTCAGTCACATGGGAGGAGCTCGAAGTAGAGCCGCTGCTTCTCCACGTCAAGAGGAACCAGTTGAGGTAGCTCGGCCATCTGTTCCGGATGCCTCCTGGACGCCTCCCTGGGGAGGTGTTCTGTCAACGTCCCACCAGGAGGAGGCCCCGGGAAAGACCCAGGACACGCTGGAGGGACTATGTCTCTCAACTGGCCTGGGAATGCCTTAGGGTCCCGCCGGACGAGCTGGAGGAAGTGTGTTGAAGTCTGGGCATTTCTGCTTAGACTGCTGCCCCTGTGACCCAGCAACGGATGAAGTGGAAGAAAATGGATGGATGGTTTGGGCACCCCGGTTATAACTCGTATAGAGTTGGTTTATAATGACTGTTTTTCTGTTTTGTTCCCTTTAGTTCTGTTGAATCGTCAAATACTTTTTATGGCACTCCTTTGACACGTAGCAAAAATCCCGGACCAGTTTTTGTCGTTGACACCGTTATTGGGTCTTTGTGTTCTGTACACGGTGGTACGCGCACACACACAAATGTTTGAGGACGCCGCTGCGGCTACTGCTTCAATTCTTCTTCTTATTACTTTGCTGTTCATAGTAAGCTGAGTATCAACGCCCCTCCAAGTGTTTGAAATCTTTACTATTGTTTTTAGTTGTACTTTATTGTCATATGCGATTTGTCTTTTATGCCTTTTTATAAGTAGTTTTAACATTGAATGTTTTGCTTACCCCACCACAATATTGCAGCTGTTTATTTAATTCCCCAATAAATTGTAATCCATTTGATTAAATGATGTTGTACAGTCTCATGAATCGTCTGTGTGCTTGTGTTGTTTAACATATCAAAGTAATGCAGATGTATGCATATGAGCCTGGACACTCCATTGTTCTCAGGGTTTTTTTAATTGCCAGGTGCAGATGCATCATGTTAATCTGATGTATCACATGTATTACAGCAGCCACAAACCTCCTCCATAAACTTATCAGGGGGTCAAAAACTAAATTAGCCACGCTGAATGGAAACCATGTATGTGGTAGTTTTAGGATTGTTGTTGTTATAAGCTTTAAATTATTGTAAAATATAGAGATCTAGGATTATGGAGCTAATATCAGCAGCTGTTGCTGATAACGGCAACAGTTTTATCTCAATCCTGAATAAACTTATGTAAATAATGTATTTCTATATAAATTCAGCAAAGATGCATTTGGTGTATGAAAATGTACTAAAACAACTTTTCTATCCATTCAAAATATAAGATCCATTATTTACTATACTCGGTAAGTTATTGTCATAATTTAGTTTTTTTGTTTTTGTACAATATGGCTGAACTAGCATAACATGTCACAATGTTTTAAATTAAAAAGCTGACAAAACTAAAGTCTGTTTACTGTATCCTGGTCATCACAGCACTGACTTGTGGCTGTCTCGAGACATAAATAAACCACTAACTGAACCACATTGTTAAAATTATTGTGCTTTATTTTATTATAATCAAAATGCCCACAGGTCGTTATTAGAGATTAGAAGAAACAAACTAAAACATACTGTAAACATTCACATTGTTTGTCTTCTAAAAATCTTCAGTAAACTCAGAGCAAAATAACACATTTGTTTTATTAATAAGTAAACAGAAAAATAAAATAATTCAAACAACAGAAATAGGCATCTCTCCAAACCATTGGCTTAGATTAGAGGTTGATCTGTGCAGTGTATCCCAACAGCTCAAATTACACATAGATCATAAAAGAGTTTCATAAGACAAGTCCACACACGCTGGTTGGCGATCAACGAGCCCTATACAGTGGTCTTCGCACTCAGAACTATTCTCCCTAAGGGACTAAATACCCCAAAAAGGAGCAAAGACAATATACATGCAGTCGTTTGGCCATTCGGGACTTTTCCCATGTATACAACTGGCTTCACTCCAATAACCACTGTGAGTATAAAGGTGTAACAATGCATCAGTAACAAATTATTTTAACGTGTTGAGATGTTTGGGGATTAAGAATGGGTTTTCCCTTTTAAATGTTATTTCAGAAACTAGAATATTGTATATTTGTATCAGTATTTATCAACTATAAAATATTCAAAAAAGTCCCTCCTCTCGGCACAACTTCAACCAATACAATTTTCTGGAATAGATAAAATAGTTTGAATTATTTTTGACCATTCAGGAGGTTGCGGCTGTGAGCAAGGATAGATCCAACCAATGGTTCAAAAGTCTTTCTTCACATTTTGTTACTCACATTCACTTTTTCTGCAATGTGTCCACACGGAGCGCCGTTGGTCAGGACTGAGGCGAAGGATTTTAGGAAACCAGAGTGCCAGGGGATGGGAAGAAACATGCGTAAACCCCATACAGAAAATCTTAGTCAGGCCCAAGGAATGAACCCATGACAAAACCACGCAGTCACGTCAGTCAACAATTAAACATCCATAGATTTTCTTTCACTTTATCCATTCCTGGGTTGCAGAGGCAGCCGTTTCCATCATGAAAAGCGTGGATAGTTCCTGAAAGCATAGAACTGTCTGAATTCCCACACAGTGTATTGGTATAGGATCTGACTCTTTTTTTGTAATAAATTGTCTATACATTTAGTAATTCTGATCATTCACAAACAACCAAAATGCAAAACTGAAAATACTTAGCTGGCCCTTACGTTTTAACTGACTTGCATTGTTACATCTGTATTTATATGGCAAAAATAACTGCACTGTTGCCTGTGAGAAAGATGTCACAAAATTTAATGTAAAGGCACTTCCTCATGAATTTGAGGATCTTGTCTTTGAGTGACGGGTTCTTGAGGCAACAACATAAAATATCAAACAAAATTAAATATATTAATAAAGACATGTAATTATTGAACACTTGGCAACTCCAATTGTGATGAATGGAAACAACAATAATACAATAGAAGACACAGTTTATGTGGCAGCTTTGGTGTTGTTGCTAACCTCGCCTGTTATAAGCTTTGACTTTGAGTTATTGTAAAATATAAGTTGGTTAACAGCAGGCTAATGTCTTTAAACCAACATATAATTTACATTTATACTTTTTTGACTCAAGCCTGAAAAAATAATACACTATGGAATACTAGCTTAACGCCACTTGTTATTTGATCATTTTTTATTCAGCCATTTGTAAACAAAAATGGCAGTTCCAGCATTTAACATCTAATAAGTAAAAGTCAATAAAAAATACTCCTTTGCTATAAATAGCCAACTATTATTTACTTCTGTATGTAACACTTTGATCATTGGTGTGCCGCTCTCTAATGGAGAAAAGTATAAATAATCAATTTGATGATACATTTCGAGCTGCTTTCGCAAATACTGCATGCAGCTTTGTAATTACCTCGACCTCCCTCAGAACCGCAGGACACATACCACTGCCAAGAGACTGCACTTCACCATACTGCCACCTCTGTTTTAGCACTATTTTACCAAATACCTAAACAGTATTTCATTGGGTCATTTATGGTATTGCCACAGTAAAACATGGCAGATAGAGGTATGTTCGAATTCACTTTTTAGGTCATGATTTTACAGAGATCTCTCATCCCAATATTCAGCTTCACAACTTCGTTCCTTGGTTTTATTTCCCCTGAATATTCACAAACTTGTTTAGTGCTCCATACAATGTTTTTGGTGATACAGATACCTGCACGTTGAACCTTCATTTTTGTATTTTTCTGCAGTGCGGTCCCATGCAGGACATACATCCCTTGGATGAAGCTGAATAATAAAAGTCAACTTATAATAATAATTCAGTTATTGTTGATTTAACGATAGTAAAAAAGAGACTAGAGATTCTTTTTATAATCTAAAAATGTTCACCAAAAATATATATACTCTAAATTGGGAAATAATTGAAACACTTCACACAACCTGTACAACCTGTCTTTCCCATAGTTCTTTAACAATGTCTAACAGTGAACTGGAGTTGCCAAGTTTAGAGAACCAAAGTGTGAGGCTGTCGAACCAAATGGTAGAAACGTACAGTACTCCACAAAGCTGCCTGCATCAGAGCTAACGTGTAGCCTTTTTGACGTGAGCTTTGATTTTCATACGCATTTTATATATATATATATATATATACATATATACTGTAATATATGAATATACTTATAACTCGGGCGTTTCCACATTTATAATGCTCACATATTCATAGTTGCTATATACAAACTCTTAAGTATATATATATATATATATATATATATATATATATAGTCTTCAGTAGGACTCATTTATACCCCAGACAAGCATACAAAAACCATATTGGACCAAAAAAGACATCAACTAAAATAGATTGTTTCTATCACAAAAGAAAGAAAAACGTATTATAATGTATTCCTTTGGAGTGATTTGCTAAGTTGATTTCGTAGCAGTACTTATGATGTCGAGCCCTCGGGAAAAGACGATTTTTTTTCCAAGACCTGAGAGACTTGGTTCAGGTGCAGGTCACAATAGTGCTGAAATCCCTGGTTTTAAAAGGGGCCATTTGCAAACAGCCCTGTAATCTTGTAATCCTACACTGGACATGGAAATCAAAATTTTTAAAAATAAGTATTGTACGGTGGGAGCTGGGGAGATGGCAGGTCTAGGCCTCGGGGCACTGCTCGGACAGGGTGTTGAGCAGGTTTTTGTAGGCCGTGGAGTTCATGTAACGTGGATACGAGTCTCTTTGCATGAGCGTGTAGATCTGCAGCTGCGCGTCGTCAAACGTGTGAGAGGAGGGCTCCTGCATGCCCTTGTTGATGGTCTCACGCACTCGGGAGTCTAAACTCACCTGTGGAGAAGCAAAGGACACGCTCATTATAGCACTGTGGAAACGAGACATCGGATCGAAATCACAATTATTTAATACATCATTGATTACATCATTTAACAGCCTCTTTATTATTGTATTTACTCAGATCTCTGCACTGGCTTCCAAGTCTCTCCATTGCCTCACACTAAAGTACAGCTGTGACAAGTTAGAGCCATATGAAACACTCTGATGAGCTTAGGGACTGGCCTCCTGCTGGGACTCTGATGAGCTTAGGGACTGGCCTCCTGCTGGTTGCCGGAGTCAGGACCAAAAGTGGGGAGGAAGCATTTCAGATTTATGCAACTATAATTTGAAACAGTCTTCCTGATAATATGAGACAGTATTCTACTCCGAAAATCTTCCAAATCTAGGTTTAAACAGCTCTCTGTAGCTGTGCACACAAGGGATTGTATCTTCACTCGTTTTAACGTACTGTGATCATTATCATTTATTATCAATATTTTCTATTTTTATTAATCCCTTTGAGTTGCTTTGTGTATGATCTGTGCTATACAAATAAACTTGCTTTGTTGTTCCTTGATACAAATCAAGGCAAGGCTATCCCTGCGCTCTCAAACAGGTTCAGAAATACAAGGATCACTGCAAGTGCTAAAAAACAGACTAATACGAGCCTGGATATGGTTTGATGGCATCTGCTAATGAAAAAGACAAGTCCAGTCTTATCTCATTTTGTTCAAGCACAGTGGGACTTGCAAAAGAGAATTTGTTATAATTTCACTTTATTGCCAATTGAAAGGATTGAAAAATATAGATTTCAAAAACTTTTTTCAGGTTTAAGTTTCTCCTCAAATTTGGATTCCCCATGTGGACTTAAATTATCTGAGCTTCATGTGAGAAGTCGTAAATGGTTATTGCATCATGATCAGTACCCCATGATATTATTTTTGTCATATATTCATGTATTGGTATTTTACCAAATGATTACTTTCATTTCACCTGACTATTGATGCCTTAGATTAATAGACCAAGTGTTATTATTGTTAGTTCTTTTCTAGGTTCAATGTTTAGAGTTATATAAATTATATTGTTGCTTTCTTGAGAAATGCTTCTTTAAAATTATGTATAACATGCCATAGTAGCCCATATTCACCTATCAATGTTTGAAAGTTCTGAAAATCATCAATCATACAAATGAGTTAAACGTGATTAAGAAAGCAAGACAGGACCACAGCCAGATCATAAGGACAATGATATGTCCTGGGTCTCAAATATACACTTGCTCCCCAAAGGATTTAGACCAGTGGGGACTGGTCCCATCTCTAAAAGGTCCATGAACACGTGCGCTGACATGCTTGCAATCCCACTTCGGGCGGGTGGGGGTGGACCCAGAAAGAGAATTATCCAATGCTTTTGTATGGCGTCTTCTTTCCTCTCAAGAGCGGCTTTACAGGATGGTCCAAATTTCACATTTTCCCGCGGGAGGGGCTGCCCGCTGCCATTTTGAAAATGCCCCATAGAAGCCAAAAGTAATGGCACATTAGTTTAGTGACTACGTCTGCTAATATTTACAGTCTATGATTTAGACATCTCAAATATTGTCTTCCATATTTCAAGTGTTTCCAATGTCTACAACCAATATAAATACTTAACTTTGTGTGCTATAATAATTGCTCTATGAGAGATTGGTTATAGATAGATTCCCATAAAGCAATCCAAGGCATCTCACATTATATGACACTTGACACTTTTTCTTTTGGCAGAGTTGCTCTCCCATTTTTTCTTGAATAAGTAGCTCTCCATGGGAAAAAGGAGACTGGATCTTTACCCTGTCCATCCATGGGAGCGGATCCCTCTCTCATTACTGCCTTCCTTTTTACCATCAGGTTTTTGAGTCTTTCCGTGCTGATGCAGGAGGGTCTGAGGACAGTGATAATCTGGGAGATTAATGGACATTTATGGACATTGGTCGTGCGCCCCTTATGAACCAATGGCTCATGTGTTTATCATGATTGCATTTCCTGTGTTCGAACATTCTCTGGTCTGTTCTTGAGGAATCGACATTGGTGTTAAGGCATCCAAGATGACTGCTGTTGTGATTTAGGGCTATACAAAAATAAATTGAATTGACTTTGAATAGAAAAAGGTTGGAGACCCGTGGACTATGCTGTATAAAAGGGCATTATTTTCCACATGTCATGTAGTGTGTGGTGTTAATACTCTGACCTCTTTTGGAGACAGAATGGAGATGTAGTCCTCATAAATGATCCGTGCTTTCTCTTCGATCGCACTTTTATTGGTCTCTTGGCAGAACTCTTCGCAGGCTAACCAGAACAACATATTCTCCTCGCTGAACTCCGTGCGCAGAAACTGTCTAAAGGCGTTCCTGCCGGCTGGACAACACATCAGCTTATCAAAGGACTGGCCCCAGGAGCGCGCCTCCTCCAGCGTCGGCTTAGGGCTGTGCAAGAGAAGAGATTCATTAGACTACTGTACCACCGAAACATGACAAGAGAGAGACAGAAACCATTGGCTGGCATTACAGCTGGGGTACCTAACTTTGTTTTATAAATACATGTCCTTTATAAATACAAAGTCCTAAAGATGTGACACATGCATGTGAAAAACTGGGGATAGAACCAAACTGTTTTGAAAGCAAGGAACTGTAGTGACAAGGATTTCTGTGGTAGACAGACTTCATGTATTTAACTTTATAAGATGTGTCTATTAGTGTTGGTCCTAATAAATTTGGTCTTCTGATATATACTATAAAAAACACACCATTAGTTTAGAATACAATAACTTTTGATCTCAGCTTGACCCAGAAAAAGCTGAAATTGTCATGGTGTGGGTTTTATTTTTGTTTTATTTTGACATTGTTCTCTGTGGTTTGGTTTTAGTTGTACTTCCTGTCCTGTTTACCCCTGTCTTGATTGTCTGATCCGCCCTGATGTGTTTCACCTGTGTCTGTGTCTAAATGTACCCTGTGCTCCTCTCCCCATGTTGCTGGTCCATTGTATTGTCAACGTCTTTGTCTGTTCCTGTTTCCTTGATTCTTTTTGAGCCTTTGGATTTTGAGTTTTACCTGGAATTTTATTTTGTTATAATTAAATAATTATTTTTTGGCATTCCTGCTTTTTGAGTCCTCATCCTTCTCAGCACGTGACAGAGATAAAGCCACGGTTGAATAATTGTGGCTTCATAATAAAAATTTACAATCATTTAAAAACGCATATTGTATTTTTACTCAATTACACCATTTTGAGAGCGTTAGAAGAACATTTCAAGACAAATAAATGTGTTAAACTATTGAAATGTGTCAACCATTGAAAATACTCAATTATTACAATTAATCAATGAATCGTTACAGTATATAGAATATCTACAGTAAATCCTCTCCACGATGACTGTGTATATAGCAGGATACACAGAGCAAAAGAGAAGATTTTTCAAAATTCCTGCACAACGCTGTTACACGCTCATATTCAGCAATGTGGGTGAAGTGCTCTCGAGCCTCAGCGTGATATTACGCTGGTCGCCCATCCGGGTATTCAAAGTATTCAAATATATGTGTGTATTTATGTATCTTAAATATACATGTGTGACTTCAGAACAGATGAAATCCTCACCACTCTTCACAGTCTGGGGCCCCCCCTTGGCCGTCAAAGGAGACTTTTGGATTCCTATCGTCTCTGTCTTCATTCCTAATAAGCAGAAACAAACACATTTATGCAACACTATTTTAATACTATGCTATTTTAAAATCTAGTGGCAATAAAATACATAAAAGCACTCCATACATATTCATTGCACAATTTGACATATGCAAAATTAAATGATATTACTAAACAGTAATTTTAAACAATCTTAACTATTATTTAAGCAGTAGCCAAAAAAGAATACTCTCTTTGAGAGTGAAGTCTGCATTAAATTAGTTTTGCCAAAGCGATAAAGTCTTGTTTGATCCAAAAGAAAGTGAGAGATACAAATGCGCTTAAAGGGACTGTACGTATGACGTTTAGGGTCTCTTAGTGGTCTAATAAAGATTCACTTTCCTGAATCTTCAGCGACAGTGACACATTATTTTGTGAATTTTGTTATGTAATAAAAGACCAGGTCAATTTCAACTAACAAACTGGAAACCCAAGTAAGATCATTCTGCTTTCTGATTGGATCATCTGCTTGAAAATTGTTCATTGTCCAAATGTCCATAGTATTTATGATTACAAACAACTCCACTTAAAACTGTTGTTCAGAAAAGATACATGTTCTTGGACACGTTGACCTATTTTCAGGGGGCACATCTATAACATGCAGATGTACTAAAATTGTAACTGAAAGACTGAACCATTGCAATTTTTATTCTATGTCAATCAATATACAATGTTTGAATCCATTTTTAAACAGTTCTGTTTTACCATGCCTATACTTACAGCTTTTGTAAATCGAACACTAGTAGACCAATATGTTATAATAGTCTTCCAATATGAAAGGACATAATTCAAGTGAATGGAAGAAAGTTTCAAATTGATTCTTGTAAATAATGCAGCCTTAGTTCGCTCAACACAGACATATTTCAGCTATCGTTATGCAACATTGCTCGTCGTGCTTTAGCTTGTGATCCAAAAGCAAACTGAATGAACTGTGGCAGCGTCTGTGCACGTGTGCGTGTGTGCATGTGTGTCAGTGTGTGTGTGTGTGTGTGTGTGTGTGTGTGTGTGTGTGTGTGTGTGTGTGTGTGTGTGTGTGTGTGTGTGTGTGTGTGTGTGTGTGTGTGTGTATGTGTGTGTGTGTGGGCCTCACCAGGAGCAGCTACAGCAGCAGCACCAGCAGAAGCAGCAGGCGTTGGAGGCTCGTGGGCTGGGTCCCGTCTGGGCCTGTTCTGTCGGTGCTGCCTCCTGCTGCACCGACATCTGCCTCTTTCGCATCTCCATCCGCTCTGATCCCATGGGCTGCGGACAGGAGCACCCAAGGGACAAGTCAGGCCGGCGTCCCCGAACAGACAGTACAATAGATAGTACAATCGACAATAAGTGAGCTGCTGTGGCAATCATGTGCGCTAAAAGTGATTATTCCTCTTTTCTGGTGGAGCGCCCGTTAACTGCTTGTCTCAGAGATTGCGCTGCTTTTTCTGGATTTTTCCTTATGCACTGCAGCGTTTGAACGTTTTTTCAGGATTAAAATGACTTGAATACGGGTTCTTGAAATTGGTGTTTTTTGACTTAGGAGGGATTCATTTGTTTATGTGATCTATACATGCTACATAGGTCACTGGTTGGAGAGACATTTTTTGACCAGGTACCAAAAATGTTGACTTGAATTGCAACAATATATATGTCAAATATGTATGTTTTTAGGTGTATTTTTCAAGACATTTGTGTGTATGTGTGTCCTTGAAAATGATGACATAATCTTGATTTGCCAGTCCATAGACACTTGAATCTCATACCTCTGGACACAAAGTTTAATTTCTATTGAATGTATTTATATATTAGAATGTTATTAAGATTTGTATGCATGCCTTTTTATCTAATTTACTGTATATAATTTGCACTATATACCAAACCAAATTCATTGTTAGTGACTTACTTTTACGTACCACGGCACTGCAAATAATTATGATTTAGATGTGTTTTGCAAAGCTCATCAAAAACTACTTAGATTAAGAATTCTCGGGAGCAACCAGTGGCTATAATTGCTTCCTTCCAAGTTTAAAGTCAAGGGATTTAAAATTTTCAAAAACTCTGCTGAGTAGTTTAAATGTTAAGATTAAAATGCAACAATCATTCTAAATGCACTGATTAATGGATAATACAATGTTTTATGGGATTCTTACAAATATTTCGACCACTTAAGCAGCTCTCTCTCATTCTTGTATCAAATAAGTAGCTCTCTTTGGGGAAAAAAAAATAGACGGACCCTCCACCGGAAAGGTTACATAATGTACCTTTAGTGTGATGAACTGTACATGATGGTTATATTGAGGAAGGAATCAGGATGTTTCACTTAAAATGAATCGTTTCAAAGAGACTGGTTAGTATCTTTAATGAGTCATGCATGTAATGTATTCCTCCCTTTACAGCTCATCTTTATTTATCATAGCTATGTGCAATAAGTATTTATAATTGTAGCACATTTCTGAGGCAAAAATATCACCTAAGAATCCATGTAACAAGATTGTTTGTTGTTGAACAATCCTCATACAGAATATACACAGCGCCTCCATTGGAAACTCTGACTATTAGAATATCATTCAAAAGTGAATGGTTCAACTTAAAAGAAAAATCCATATATGATCTAGATTCATCACATGCAAAGACTTTGTTATAAGGTTAATAATTTTGGCTTTCAGTCCATTTTCAATTTGTTTTTCTGAAATGTTTTATTTGTTTTTACAGCTTTCAACAGTATAACAAATAAAAGCCAGATATAGCTCACTTTATGTGTAAAGAGCCTGTCATATATTTCTTTCTCATTGTAAGGTGAAATACAGAAGTCCGTGGACCTTTGAACAATATTCTAATTTTCCTTTTCACTTGTAAATCGGTGGTTGGGCTGTAACTATGAATCTATCCATTGTAAGTAAAAATTGAGTTAAACCTCTATATACATTATATGTAGGGGCGACAGTGTCTCAGTTGGTAGAGCATTGGCTTTGAGCCTGAAGCTTATGGGTTCGAGCCCACCACAAGACTTTCTCCACCGACTCACACTGATGTCTGCTGCCCTTGTGTCCTTAGGCAAGACACTTAACTCCCATTGCCTAGAATGAGTCTAGTGTGTATGAATGGTTGGTGGTAGTCTGTCAGTGTGCCCCAGGGCAGCTGTGGCTGCAGCAGTAGTTTATTACCATCGTGTTTGGAGTGAATGAATATTGACGTGAAGCATCTTTGAGTGTCCAAAAAAGCGCTATATAAAACCGATGCATTATTTGTTTATAAATTATGAATGTAACAGCTTTCCTTCTAAACACCATGTGGTTGTTACATACTTGATATACATACAGTGTATTAAACCAAAATTATAAATCCTATAATCACATAAAAGTAGGGCTATATGTATGTACTTGTTGGTGGCTAAGGGTAGAACTTTGTCAGAACAACCCCACAAAAAGCAACATGATGTATACTACTTTATTACAAATTAAACATGTTAAATTACCAATATTGTTTTTTTTGGCAAAGAGGTTCAAGTGTCTTGTACATCGGCTGTGGTATAGTGAGAAAAGACTTTTATTGCCAAACCAAAAGATTTATTATATGGTTGGAACTCCTTTCACTTTGATTACAGACATTCACTGTGGCATTGTTTCAACAACCTTGTGCACCTTCAGGAGGCCTTAGCGATTTTTAAGGAATGTTCAGATAGACGCCGTGTTTAGGATTCAAACAGTGACTTCTGTTTAGGCGGTTAGATAATGTTCAACGTGAAGAGTCAAATTTGAGGGAAAACTAAAACATGAAAATATATATGCAGGAAGTAAGTTGTATTTAGTTATATTTTTACTGACAAGAGAATCAATGTGGTTAATAGAAATACTAAATATTTGTTTATAAAATGCAACAGGGTAATTTGATGTTTGACAATTGTGGCCACAAAAGAATGGCAACAAACCCAATTCAATCCACTTTCGTTATAGAGCACATTTCATGAACAGTTTCCAGTGCTGCACAGAAATAATAACAGACAAATAGATACAATAAATATGAGAAAACAAAGGCGATAGAAGGACCATGCAACTCACACAAAACCCACGATAGAATTGTGATTTGATTGCGGCCCTATTCCCAAACATATCCCATGATTGTCAATGGGGTCTGTACAAATTCAAGTGTTGAAATTATCTCTCATGCTCTCTAAAGCATTCTTTACAATGTGAGCACCTACATATCATGATTTTGTTGCTGGTTCGGTTAAGAGGTACCACCAGGGAAGAAATCCATTGGCAGAATAACCAGGTTATTCAGGAAGTTCAGTTGTAAGTAAGTAAGTAAGTAAGTGAGTAATGCTTATTTATATAGCGCATTTTACAGACCACCCAAAGCGCTTCACAATGTTCGGGAATCAAATATTTTCCCATTTACACCCGGTGACACAGTGACGCTTCAAAACCCCCAATCAACCCCATCACTCACTTATTACATCAATACCTACTGTACATGTTTTTAGTGGTAGGGGAAACCAAAGCACCCGGGGAAAAACCTACGCAAGCACGGGGAGAACATGTAAACTCCACTAAGAAAGGCCCTGTTCCGACCAGGATTCGAACCCAGGACCTCCTTGCTGAGAGGTGAGAGAGCAGCTACTGTGTCGCCCAAGTTGTCAGTTCATTTTGTCATAAAATTGGGCCTTCTCTACCATTAGCTCGGATAAAACCAGCCGCTGAATTTCTCTGCTCAGGCATTGTACAGTCCTATAGTATTACATAATGATGCCGATGGATCAAGGGAGCTCCAACAGCTCATCACTTTGTCATTGAATAAATCTATATTCGGGCAGCACTGAAGTAACATTATAATAATGCATGTTACTGTTGGGGATACAGTGCTTTGTTTTCACATAAGAGTTACTTAATGCCCCCTAGACTTTTTTCCATAAAAAGTCTAGGGGGTGTTGGGAAAGCCCAGGGGTTGCACAGTTTTGGTTTGGAAATAGCGCCCTCATGTCCTGGTTCCCTGCTCTCCACTGGTCTTTCTTCTAAAGGACTTCTCGGCTTGGATTTAACAGGATGTTTTCTTAGCCCAAAACACATGGTCGCTACAAGGTGGAAGCCCCCCTCGCTTATCATTTTATGTTCTACATGCAAGCGTATAAGTGAATGTATGTACACTGGGTGGGAGCTTTTAAGTTTAACTTCTTCCCACTCATTTTTGGGAGAAAAAAAGGATCCCATAGCCATAACACATATGAATGTATCCGCATGTACATTTGTATGTTGTATATCATATAAAACATGTAAATACTGTAAATTGTTCTTTACAAAATCTGGAAGTAAATAAACAAATCCATGAAGTTAAGTGAAATATAGTTGTATAGGCGTGTGTCAGTGTGCTCAGTGTGCATCCATACAGCTGTGGCAATGACCAGAGCAACTTTATGTACAGATAATATTACCCAGGCTTGGACAATGTCACATCGATTACAAGGGTTTTTCAAAGACAGGACAAAGACCGATGGATTACAGTCTGTCCACAACACATACAATATTCCTATAAACATGTATTGCATGAATCACCTCAACACATTCATTTCAATGCACAGATGATGGCACGCTGTTCAATCAGTGGCTGTGATCTCAATTTCTAAATAAATCACCACTGCAGCATAGTATAATATTACAGGATTTTTTAGAATGTGGCTTTAGAACATTGCACACTGCAAACACTAATCTGCTGTAATGGGTGTCTGAATATTGCTTATCACTCAATTAGAAGAAACAATCACATAATGGAGTTCAACTGTAGGGGCAGAGGCGAACAGGCTGTAGCTACTCACATACTGCCAGAACAAGAGAATGTACGTATTTACAAAGCTTGTCTGTGAACGCCTCTTCTGGTAACTATACCTGAGAATGGGTTTGAGAAATGTCATAAGATTTTGCTCATAATGAGAGCAAGGGGGAGGAGGGGTGCAATCTCTCCACAGCATCGTCCTATCACAGGTTTTCAGTGAACACACTATACCATTTGGTCTTTGCTCTAAAATGGATCCATACGCCTGCAGGATTTGTCTTTCACCGAATGCCATTTTACGCGTTGTGTGCTATTTCCAGTGGCTCTGGCTTGACCAAACACGGCAAAAGACGACGAGACGGGTGCTTACATCAAATTCAACATCCTAAAATCTCAGCAGTGGAATCATACGACGGTGATAGACAGATCGCGGGTTTGAGTGACAATCAAAGCGGAAAAAAGCCACTTGCACATAGCATCAATGGGAAGTGGCACAGGGT